TACAATGGTATAACAATGTTTTCATTATTGCTTTTAGGATGTCTATCATCTGGCAAAGGGACCATCGATGAAAACTATAGCCATTTGGCTAATTTGAGTACTTTTACATGTTTTTAATATGTTGATTAATGTACACTGTCCCTTGTTTTAAATAAATCAATTCAAAGTTTTAAATAAATCAATTCAAAGCATTTAATTTATTAATTGCTATCGGGATGTTAAGAGCATTCCATGGAATATGACAAAAAGTGTTTCTGAAATAAATTACATACCCCACCTTTAAGCTAACTACAATGATTTGTAAGCCAACGTAACATAGCCGAGTTCTAATTAAGTCACAAAGTAAGGGCTTTAGCATAAACCAACGCAAACTAGCTAGAGCTGATAAAAGCTATTGTTGACTAAAGATTATAGCCTTCATTTGTTTACTCCTGATTGGAAACCATTGTTTAAAGAAATTAATAATAATTACATTTGACAGTCGTAGAAACTTAGGGGGATTGGTGTAGGGGCGTACGTTAACTCATGATCATAGTATTTCAAAATAATGCCTCCAGGCCTGTATTGGAGAATTTGATTGTCTAATTTCCTGTGCCTCGTTGTTGTGGACAATGCTCAGCCATTACCACCAGCCAGAGACTTTTAGAGTTTTCTATGGCTGTTTTGTTTGTCTCCAGAAGGCCCTTCACAGCTTGAAAAAGCCTATTTTAGCTGTGTTAAAACAGCGTGCCGTGTTTTTTGTGAATTAGCAAACAATGTGGCCCTGCAGACAGAAATAGCTGTCTCCTCTCAGCGTGGGCATTACCTCTCAACGCAGCTTAGTAGTTTTCGATGTGGAACAAGCGAGAGGTTCACCGGGAGGGTAAAGCTGACACTGGATCTGCATAAAATACATATCATCCAAGAACACAAAGAGACGCTGCTGCCTTTCCTCTGAGCGGTTTTGGGTTTGAATCCAATTACAAGAGCGTTGTTTTTGAACTACAACGTGCTGCTCACTAAACGTTGATCTGTGTTCTGATCCAGATCAAGTTTGTTAAACACACCAAAGACTCTTAAATCCAAGATGGTGTTTGATTTTGATTTACAGAGAGAGGGTTAGCGGCCTACTTATTTCCCCACCGGCAGCCCTTGATACAGTATAAAATTAAACTGACATGATGAAGCACTAAACACGTCACACGTCCGAAATGGAGGAACTTAAATATCCTTTTAAGGATGCCATCAGGTATAAAAGTGCATTAAGATGATTTATTTCTGGATGCGTTATAATAATAGAATTATTTTTGTTAGACGCTTTACAGATATAGTGAAAAGAAAAGAAAACAAAAAAAGTTATAGAATGAATAAGTTATGCTATTTCATGATAATTGTTACTGGTTTGAATCTCAATATGACAATGTAAGAGAGTGTTGACACTGAAGGGTACATTCAATCTGCGCTTAAGATGGAATGTACAAATTCAACAAGTGAAAACAAACGGAATTTTTGTTAAGAGTTTTAGTCCCGACTCTGTTGGATTTACTTTGTTTAACAAAAGTAAAGCATCTATTCAGGGCTGATAGAAATGACTTCTATGTTTATGAATCATTCACAAACTGGTGTGAAATGCCTTTGTACAACTCTTCAGCTAGCAACCTTTTCCATCTATAAATCATGTTGCCTCTTTGAAAGTTTCTGAGTTTGGGGAAAACCTTGATTTATTATTTGGTGAAGAAAGACTGCATTACAAAAGCTGCACCACCGTGAATGTCCAAATAGTGTAGTTCATGGCCACACAAAGACTTCTACAAAGAATAAAATGGATAAAGAAGAATATTTCAGAAAATGTATTTTTCCCCACTTATTACATTAGCATTTTAACATAAAAAGTGTATCTTGTTAAGGTGCTGTTTGCAGTAGGAACTATTCAAAGTATTATTAAAGGTTTGTTGATTTATGGAAATACGCGCATTTGTTGAATGTTTTTGTTCAACAGCATTTTGTTTTGGATGGCTGCTTGTTCAAGATAAGAAGAAACATTTTCATGTATTTGTAATTTATAACCCCAGATATCAAGGGGTGTTTCCCCAGTTAAAAGACACTAGGCTATGGTTGTGTTAAAGAAACCAGAAAAATATTATTTTTATATAGATATTTTACACTGTGTGAACTTGGTGGTATTGGTGTAGGCTTCAAGTGGAAAATTTATAAGCATTTTTAATAAAGTTACTAATAAAGTTTGGACTTATCCCTTAAAACGAAAGCGTTTCCGGCACTTAACGGTGCACAGGTGTTTTAATCTAGTAGCTTAGAGTGTACAGGTTTCACCACAAAGAGGTGGAATTAGGCAAAATGAATGGAAACTGTAAGGGAAACTTCTGTAGCAATGGAGAGTCAGGACTCAGAGAGACACGAGGAGAGTTGGAGCTTTGATGTCAAACACTGATGGTTTATTACAAGTATCGGCCGGAGGATTCACATCACAAGTCACATGCAGTCAAAGGTTCTGACTGCACCAGAGAGTTGCCACATCAATTCTGAAGAGCCTCTCTCTCTCAATAGACCTTTTAACTAGCTCACAGAGAGTAATCAACATATTGGGGGAGATAACTTAAACATCTGGGAACACTGGAGATAGCCCCAACATCTGGAGACACTGAATCACTTGTCTGACCCTTAGGCTCGAAGCCAGCGTTCCCACAATCATAAACCATTTGTGACCGAGAGTTGACCGGTCATATAACTGAGGCCTCCCATTCCTTAAGAGAGATAACAGACGTCAGGGTTTGTCATAAACGTCAAAGGGCAAAAAGGTTAGATACCTAGGAGTAAGGGAGAATTATTCTCTAACAGAAACCACCTGGCAGGTAGGGATTAAGAGGTTTGGATGACCATGAAGGTTGTAGAAATAAAGACTTGTAATATCTTGGTTGCCTTCTTAGGCCTAGTCAAAACGTACAAGGGTATTTTGAAGATGTAAAAACACACAAACACCCACACAAACACTGGACAGACACAAACGCACACACTCACCCCATGCCTGAAATGCCTCCATTGGACTCCTTTGTTTACTTCCTTAACATAATGACATCACTACGTAACACTCGCCTTTTCTATTGGATAGCGCTCCAACACATTGTACATCATCTCTAAGCGGTTCACAACAGACACGTCTTAAAAGAGGCTCAGCAGCACAGGCAGTATGAGAAAAATAAAGACCTTTGTGACATGTCACAGTAGAGGAACAAAATTGAAATATGAACCTGAACATGAGCATAATATAACCTTTTAACCCTTAGTGACTTCATGCCCAAGCTTATAGATTCAATGCAAATAGGATAAGGAGGATAAGTTCAATGTGCACACATCACACATACCTGACAAGGACAAGGAGACAAACTGTGTCACCATTTAGTCACAGTGAACACATGGTAAATGGTACCACGTTTGGCGATGTCTCCTTGGGGTTGACTAAAAATATACGGAATCCATCAAGCAAAGCAGTGGGCGCGACAGGAGCCGGTGGATGACTGTGAGGTGTCATTGACAGAGCGGCTCTTCAAACTGCCTTTAACTGTATGAAGGATTGTGACACTCCCTCAATCGCGCCGTCTGGAAATAGTGCGTTTACGAACAAAGAGAAAATGTGAGCGGTTCTCTCTGCGTGTTACAAAGAGAATATATTCACAAGTCAACACAGATCAGTGAGCGGCGTGCCTTAGGATCAGGAAAAGTATTCGTTTAAGCTTTGACAAATCCTCTGCAGGAAACCTGTGAAGCATGAAATGTTGCGTTTCTTGTGAGCCACGATTGATTTGTGTTCTTTTGAAGCTAAAACATAGGATTTTTGTTGTAGATCTCTAACAGTGTTACTAAGCGCATTTACTCAAATACTCTACTGAAATAAAAATGTGAGGCACTGCACTTGAGTGTTTCCACATTGACTGATACATATTGATATGATAGGTTAAGCTACCCCCCTGCATTATATAACATTCATTTTGTGATTTTAGCCTTTGCAGACCATTTACATGAACAAACACACAACAGGAAATGTAAGACCCCCATAGGCATAATAGGGCCTCTTCTGCTAAAAAAATACTTTTACATTGATATTGCTACAATAGTTGAATGCTTATTTGCAAGTTTAGTTGGAATAATCAAAGCTAAATCAAAATCTTACATTCATCTAACACTGCCCATGAATGGCGGGTGACTTGCAATCAAACTGAATTAAAAAAAAGCAATGCAAATACTTTTTCACTCTTTCACCTAATGAATACCTGAATTTAAACATATCTACAAGCCTTTCTGTTTAATTTAGCATTGTATCACTATGTATATCTCACTATAAACTTGATGTGCAGCCACATCTTTTCCCCTGCAGAGCAAACTGTGCATCATGTCACCATGCATGCAACCAGGACTCCTTTTCTGAGTCATTTGCGCAGTTTGAAAGCGCTTTGACGTCATGTCGTCTACTACTATAAAAGGAACCTGTCATTTTGCATGATAGGCTAAACTGTGCTCGATATAGATAGTGTACGAGGAAACTATGTCCTGTGCTCAACTGGATTTTGTACACTTATTTCCAAAAGCTATTGGAAGTATCAAATACTACCGAAGTTCTCAGCTTGGTCACTTACCAAATAAATGTTTTCTGAGGCCACGTGCAAGACTGAATGCCAACACATCTCCATCCTCCTCCTTATTGATTGGCCGTCTAATCAACATATAAAGTGTGGTTAGGCAGGACTGAATAACAAACACCCACCGTTTTTTATTCCTACATGTAGTTATCCCTGACTTTTGACCCCCCTGTGGAAGTGAGGAAGTAAATACCCTCTCGGCTGATTGAGCCTGTCACGAGGTCTCATAGTGACCTCTTGTGGTCGTGTGGAGATACTGCAGCTAGGAGCTAAAACTGAACAAAAGAGAAACACAAGAGCAAAAATACCTTAAATTCCTTTACTTAAATTAAAAAAATGTACATCACATTATCCTTTACAATAGACATGTCTCTTAAAAACTCAGTGGTTTTTGTTTTATTCACTGTACATTTAAATCATTTGTATACAAATTCCTCTTTGACAAAAGAAAATTGGAGAAAACAAAGAGGAAGTCACAGATGACAAACGAATAAAACGCTGTAATGACTGCAATGTTTCTCCAATATCTGACTGTACCGAGTTTTATGACGCAGTCCATAAAACAGGACTGGACAGGATTCATTTTTAAATGCTATAAAATAAAATAAAATAAATTATGTCAGGCTGTTTGAAGCCTTGAGACAATGTGTCTCTGGTACAGTGAGTGCTGTACTCGGTCTTGATGATTCAAATGCTTTTAAAACCCCGTAATCAACAGTAACACAGTTAAAGGAGCGATATCATTAACACAACAGCGAGGACAGCAGCTTCAAAGCTGGGGAACATTTAGAGGACAACACCGCTGTTTTTGACAAGTTCTAATAACAGCAGGTACACTCTCAAACATATTTTGAGAAACATTCGTAGCTTTCTAGTATTTTTAAGCTAATATAGACTCATTCTGTATCACTGAACCTCCGTATAGGCCTACTGGTGACTGAAAGCGCTGCTGTCAATTCAAAAAGGTTAATTGGTTAAAAGCTTATTAAAAACTAAATGTCTCAAACAATCATGTAGCTACCGAGGTGAGAATCTGCTTTGGGTCTGACCACACATTAATATTGTTATTTATTGTACATGTGCTGCTTTTAGTGGCCTTTAAGAAACAAAAATGTGCTTTTAACCATCCCAGGTCAAGCAATGTTTGTTGACAGTTGTGATAACTTGGGAATATTATGGAATATGTGGATATTTTGTATGCTCTCACTGTTTAAAAATTATATAACAAAGGTTTACATTTTTAATAGCTAGTGCTATAGTTAAGGCTTCTGACCTATGTCTTGAAATGCAATTAAATAAGAACTTATTTAGCTTGGATTAAAAAGTTATAACTAAAAAGTGACAACAACATTTCAACTGAACAACAAACTATCACATTTCCATGTTAAGCTACAGTCAGTACAGTTGCTAAGCGGCTGCTAGCATTAGCTTTAACATTTCCCAAAATGTCACAAGGTTTCTTTAAAATTAGCTGAAGCCTTTCTCCAGTGTCCTTACAGTAATATGCACACATTGATTTATTTAAAAAAAAAAGTTGAACTTTTATCATATTTCTGCTTTTCTCTGCACTCGTGAGGTCACAATAGACAAACTGTCAAAAACACTGATGTTGCCTTTTCAGTCCACAATGACCATATCTGCTCTGTATGAAGAACGTTTTACTTCCACTTACCAAGTACTGTGATGTTAGATAAAACAAATAAAATAAAACACTGAGGTTTTAAAATACTGCTTTTGTTGTCGCAACGATTGAAGTTTTCCTATTGGTTAAAAGCAGGTGAGCAGAAATAGTCATGTGACTGGTGGAGGAGCCAATGAGAGCAGAGTCATTTATTCAAGAACAGCAGTCCAGTCTTCATAACTCCGGAGTCAAAGGAATTCAAACTGGGTTACGAGAAAGAGAACAATTCTGTAAACATGAGCTTAGGCAGAATATGGCAGACAGAAAATGAAAGATTTGGCAAAAGAAAAATATATATTTGTACATTTAAAGTGATACATTCTGTGCTTTTCTGATCGCAGCCTTGTTAGGGTCTGCTATCAGAGTTAACAGATTACAAAAGGCGTCAGGTAAAAGCTTTAGAGACTACAACGAGCCACCAAATCACACAGTGAGACAGCGTTCACCTGCTCTAATATCCCCCTGCTCATGGATCCAATTTATTCCTCAACAAAAATAGAAAAATCCATGTCTGGGAAAGGCGGCCTCTTCATAGAAGGCCAAATCAAACAGATGGATGTCAAAGAAAATACTCCATCCTTAATTAGTTTGAACTAAAAATAATAAAGTGGGTCTATGAACTGGTCCATTGCTTCCAAGGCAACTTCATATCCAGCTAATTTGCTTCTAATGATGATAAGAGGACTTGTATAGACTTTGAGAGAAACCTTGACATTTTTAAGTACGGGAAATAATAATTTCATGAGTGTGATTTGGAAGTATCCAGTGGGTAAAAATGACCGGAATAAAACAAAAATATAAAAGTCAAGGTCTCCCTTTTTAACAGTGTTTTTTTGAAAGATTTACATATAAGAAACTAAAGCTTGTGCTGCTGGGCGTACAGTGGAATAGCTACTCTGTCTCTAAAATCCGACGAGAAATCACGACCTGCTGTCCCATATCATATCTCCATCCCTCTCCAAAAACACAGAGACGTGTCTGATGTCATTTGGCATCGTATTTCTACACATCAAAACCATTCCGCGAGAGTAAAGACCGGCTTTATTCTCGCGAACGGCGTCTTTAAAATAAAGTGACGTTGAGACTTTATGTTCGACCTTTAACCATATTAAAAAAAAAAGAAGCTTACATTGAAATGATCTGGAACAAGTGGAAGAGCACCCTACACATGTGGCATAACATATAAGTGGGAAAAAAGCAAAAAGATTTAAATTTTAGAAATGGATTTACACAAATAAATCCATATGTTTTTGTTACGGCTTATTTGACCTCAAGCAGCTTGACCACCTGTGTATTTATGCAAGTGAAATCACCCAATCGGAAAGATTCATATGGACATTTAAGGTTTGATTTATAATTCAAAGGCTAAAATAACTCAATGTTTTAGAGGACTTAGCGGAACATAAACCAGTGGTTTCATTTCATTCAAGTACCTTGTTCTTTTATGGTCAGTTTGAAGGTTTCCTGGCTATCTGTGTACTAATACAGTGCTCATTTACTATGCACTGAGACCAGCAGGATGTGAGAGCTGCTGGCTCAAGTCGACAGACAAATAAGAGAAATACATAACACAAGTAGCAGTTTGAGACTATTTGCCAACACTGACCATGGATTCCAGCTGAATTTATGAGCCTTTAAAGTCGAGTCTGCAACATCTATCCAGTTAAAGTTCTAGTAAAGTGCAGGGAGAATACCATCAATAGAAGAAAAACGAAAATCTCTATATATGTACAGATTGTGCCTTGAAAAGAGAAGCGGATTAGCTTAGATCTAGTTTTAAATGGCAGTCAGTGTTTCAAACGTCTAACAGTGGTTGTGCTCTCGTCTTGGACGCAATCAGCAGCTCCAGGATCAGCAGTCCCAAAGGCTGTTTGTTACAAAGAGACATTTTCTTCAAAAGAAAGGCATTTTGAAAAGAATAAAAACATGTCACGACACGTTTCACGTACGCACACTTACGAACACCGAAGCGGATGCTGCGTACATTGTCTGTTACTTCAACAGAGAAGACTAAAACATAGCGTCGCTGCTGAAATGTGTCTAGAAAAAAGGAAAATAATAATTAGACAGCAGCAGCAATGTAAACTAACAGAAAGGCTCTGTGTCAGTCAGAATGACAACTTCACAGCTAAACACATTGTTTAAAAACACCTCACACTCATATAATTTAGTCGGGCTAAGCCACTAGGCACCGATCAGCCAGCTGTCTAAATATTTCAACATCAGTAGTTGTTTATGCGCTGATTTATAAAGCTAACATGTTCATATTTGTTCCTACAGATGTCTGGCAGTTAAAAGAACCTCTTGTTTGTCTTCCATTTGCTTTAGGATATTCGTTTGACGGCCAAGTTGAGCACTACTTGAAATCTTCCTACCACAGTAGAAGTCACTCCTTGACTTAGGAGAAAAAACAGAGCCACTTGACGCTATTTAAGACCATCATTTCTGCCCGCACGCACTCACACATGCAAACACGGAAACAAGTACGTCAGGAATCCAGTCAGCCAGCCAGTCAGTCAGTGAGGTGGGAGAGGAGAACCAGCTCCCCCCCCCCCAACAAGCCACACCAATCCTCGCTCCTCTTCAGAACTTGGATTTTTTTAATCCAACACAATCAACAAAGTGTGTGATGTAACTTAATCCCAGCTACACACACACTCGCATGTCCCCTCCAAGGAAATCCACCAAGGGAGGAGGAGTGTGGTGGGTTTGTTTTTCAAGAAGTGTGTTCTAGTCCAGTTGAATCTCAGGAGGCTCTCCGCTCCACTTTAGCCCCAGTATGGAGGTCTGTTGCTGGGATACGGGCTGTCTAGAGCTCGGCGGTGGCCGGAGGTTTGGTGGTGGTCATGATCTTCATGTACTGGGTGAAGATGGCCTCGAAAGCCTCGTCTCTGTGGATCATGGCACCAAACACCAATGGCTGAAGGGAAGAGAAAAGCACAGGGATCATTATTAACCGAGACATTGGACACAGTCTAGTCCAGCTCAAAGCTAATAACATTTTCATCTAAAATGATATACAAAATGTACGCTTCATCTCATGTGCTGTTTTGGTTTGTGCAAAGAGCTGTGCCTTTTACACAACGTGTTTATTTTCATTAGAACAGGTAAAGAGCGATCGCAGGCTGGTACCACACACCTCATTTTATGAAGGAGATGTCTGGTCACAGGCGCAGTCAGTCAGTCAGTCAGTCAGTCAGTCAGTCAGTCAGTCAGTCAGTCAGTCAGTCAGTCAGTCAGTCAGTCAGTCAGTCAGTCAGTCAGTCAGTCAGTCTGTGTGTGTGTGTGTGTGTGTGTGTGTGTGTGTGTTCGGTGTGTGTCCGACAACGGCATTTGTTTTCAAATTACCATGAACAGTAATTTACACACATCTGTCCAACTCCATATGTATATGTGGGTGTTTCCAAATGAAAGAAATGTGTTTAATCTTAATGTCGTTGCACTGTCTGCACACAAACACATATCATGCGCTCTGGTGCATTATTATTATTAATACACTATTCCGTTGTATTGGCTTTGATGCAGGAGGAGGAATGCTGTGACCCTGCTGAAGGGGAGCCAGGGCAGGAGGCTCAACATGTTGATTTAAAACATTTGTGTTGTACTCCTGTTTTCACTTTAGAGCCCTTTTAGAACTTATAGTGTTATCATTTCAGCGCCCCACTCTCCATTGCTGTTTATGTTGAAAATAAAACTAAACTTTTCATAACCATAATATTTTAACTGATTTAATTGTGGAAGCTGGGGTTATTCATCAGAATTTCATTGGACTTGACTTGTGACTTGCTTGACTCTCACCACAGTGACTTGGGACTTGCTTGGGACTTGCTAGTAAAACAATTGTTCCTACACCTTATCTACACTCTGCTCATATAGCAGAGTTTTCAGCACCAGTATAGTGTTTTGTTACTTGAATAGTATAAAACAAAAAAACCCATATGTATAACTTTAATTTGTATAATGCTGGGTTCACCATAACAAGGGCAATACATCCCGTTACCAAGCTAAGGTGGAGACCACTGAGTGTGGGAAGTGTCCACTCCATTCAACTTTTGGTCTATTATGATTAGAGTGCATTTTGTACAACAATTGTGTTGGGAAAATGGCCAATATCTTGAAGCTACATCAAAAAGATTAGCTTAACTTCCAATCCTAAATGAATGAAATGCTAGATGAATGAGAATGGCTGTTTGGAATACCAGTATTGTTTATAATGCTTATAATATGAGCTAGGGCACATAAAGCAGCAGTCATTGCATACTGTACCTTCTGAGTGGAAGGAGTAGCTATGGAGATGCCCATCCCACTTCCTGGTAGGACGGACAGCACTTTGTACTGGGGGGGTTCACAAAGAAAAGAGGGTTATTATCATATCTACCTTCTTATATTGTACAATGAAAATAATCATTCCTATTTCATGTTACACAATGTGTTACCTTTTGTATGTCAGTGATGTCCACCAGCTTGATAACCTTATTCTTCTTAGAGGAGCTGGATCTGGAGCTGGAGCTCTCAAAGCACAGGTAACTGAGGGAGAGGAAGAGATAAACAGTAGCTAGCTGTGAGTGGAAAAGAGGAAGACAAACATGGGCTTCCTGTCAGTAACACATGAGAGGAGGAGGAGGAGGAGATTTAAAGATCAGAGATGTTCTCACGAGGAGGGCTGTCCTACAGGATCCACTGCTGACTGACTGGGACTTATTGAAGCTCAACTTTCAGGCACCTACACCTTCATGAGTATCTTATTATTTCACCATGCAGTCATTGACTAAATGAAAAGGATGCTTCCTTGATACACTGCAAGTCCCCTCCTTACTTCTCTGTGACGTAGAGCACTCCATTCCTGATGTAGTCTGTGGGCATCTTCCTGTCTCTGTTTATCAGGCAGCACCTCCAGCCGTTCTCACACACTGGAAACACAAGAGATTTATGACACGTGATTTTAAAATCATGCTCAAGAAATATGTTCATATGTTCTGTGCGTCTCCAAGTCTTTAGCCCTTATCACAGCCAACAAACGCGTAGCAGTGCAATGGAAAAATGAACCTCCACGTACATTTGCTAGAAGGACTTGAAGGTGAATTAACATTGTGTGCACCTAATGAAAAGATAGTGTATAACCTGAAGGAGGATTCAAAAGATCTGCCGTGGTTCTCTAAGATATCTGGAGATACGATATAGTCTACTATTATATTCAAGTTTGGATTGTAAACACATTTCACGTAAGTTAAAAATATGTCTGTCTTTTATCTCATAGTCAGTTTTTGTAACAGTTACTTTTATTTCCCTTTTTATCCCACTTTCTCAACTTAAATTGAAACACAAAAGCCGTTATATATTTTTGTTATTTACTTATTTGACATATTCTGAAGTAGTTGGACCGAGTGGTCCCATCAGCAGCCTAATCTTTTAAACTGTACAATAACAGCATTAATATCTTGTTAATACTAATACCACACTGTATATATTGGAACACACATGTTAAATATTGCAGTGCAATGTGCATATTTCTACTTTAACTTCTAATGTTTATATAAATATTTGATTCTATTCCATTTGATCTAGTATTGGACATTTAACTTTAACTTCTCATAAGTATCTTTATTCTATATTTTGTTATCTTTTTATTGCAAACCCTTGTATTTATTTATTTATAACAGTCACAAAACCCACATTTCCTGGATTTATCCTAGAATAAATAAATTATTCTACTGATGGAAAAAATTTAATGGTTTTTTTTAATTTTTTTTTTTTAAATAAAACCTGTGTTGAGCAAAATGAAATGCAGAGCTGTGAATAAATGGAACACTCAAATTAAAAACTGGCACATGTTTATTTGGTTCTGCAGCAAGACCCCTCACCCGCCAGAGGGCGCTCTGACTCCAGCAGGCTGAAGATCTCGTGGAAGGCTCCCTTCTTGGTGCTGCGGGCGCTCCCCGTGTCCTCCTCCCTGCTCAGCCCGCAAGGGACCGTGGCGAGGCTGCTGCGAGAAACCACCGGCTGAATCTGAGGAGAGATGGAGGAAGAGGAGGAGGAAGAGGAGGAGGAGGGATAGGCGGGAAAGGAGAGGAGAAAAACAAACATAAAATAACAGACAAGATGAAAAATAAAAACACCATGAAGGGGAGACGAAGGGCACGTGGGAGAGGATGAAGAATGATGAAGGGAAAGAGGAAGGACAGGGATATTAAACTCTCCACACATTACTCTACATGTTCCCAGATCTATTGACAAACGTGGCCAAAATGAAGACAGCTCTACTTTCAGTATTTGCATTATGTGCTGCTCTGCATGTGCACTTCTTTGCAGCAGGCTCAGGTGTGACGTGCAAAGCAGAGAGTGGGCCATCATTCACTCAGCATACACAGCAACAGTTTATAGGCAAAACATATTTGTTAGTATGTGGAAGAAACATAAATAAACTCAAGATGTACCCCTTACATTGTCAGATAAATCCTTTTTTATCCAGTCCCTTTCTAGAGTAAGTGTTTCAGTGAAAATTAAAAAAAAAGAGACTTAAAAAAAAGAGATCATTGGGTTTGTCACTATGTGTAATGGAAAGGGAGGGATTGAATGAGCTAATAGGGAAATACGTTGGAAAAGAGGCTACGCTATGCTATGTGCATTTGAGCTAATCAGGAGACACACTGCTAATTCTCACAGAGCATCTATGTCAATGGATCAAAACATGTCAACAATCTGAAAATTGTTTTTGAATAACTTTGCAAATGGATGAGTAATTAAATGTAATGTCAAAAAATCAAATCAAAATGATGGATACAAAAAAAAATTAAATGTAAGTTATTGTGACATTTTGATCCATTCTGTCCACAAACACTGACGGCCAGTCCCGAGGAGTGTCACACAACTCGCACATACACACACACACACAGGCGCGCTTTGAGGTGAGCTTGCAGCACCCCCGGGCGCAGCAGAGGAACCAAAGGGAGACACACCAGAGTCCCTACCTTCTCAATGCCAGAGAGCTGAGAGAGAGAAAGGACAGAGCACACCTGTGACAGAGGCTCAAACACTCTATCCTACACATGACACACACACACACACGTTAGTGGCTCGGCTGTAATGTATTATTAACGATTGGAGTGAGGGTATTTTGATTTGATTTTATTGATGTCCTTGCCCCGGCTCTAAGGGGGGTGAGGGTGGGGGGGCAGATTTGTACTTCAGTAGGTGGAATCTTGCCGACATAAATAATGTAACCTGACCTACAGCTGGTTACGTCTTACTTTACTTTTCCAATAGCTTATCAATCACCAACATTGAAGATAAAAATGATAAACAATTTGCAGTAAAGGAACATTTTGCTCAAATGCTTATTTTGACATATAACATTTCCCTACGTTGTTGCTAGCCAGAATTCGGTGGATCTTATAACCCAGAACTGATCGGATTGCTGTTGGTTCCCCTATCTGAACAATTTCAAAAAAAAATCCTTGTTGTTTAAACAGTTACACAAATTACAAGGAGGATGTTTTTTTGTAACGTAGCCATAATAGTCCTCATGTATTTTCAACATACTTTCTCTCAGACAGGATCCAGACTAAGCTGTGTTGTACAAGGCACTTCAGAGTTAGTATCAGAAAACAAAAAGGATACAATGTAGAAGAAGGGACGGCAAAGATACAGATGTGTGTGTGTGTGTGTGTGTGTGTGTGTGTGTGTGTGTGTGTGTGTGTGTGTGTGTGTGTGTGTGTGTGTGTGTGTGTGTGAGTGCCCTTACCCGCCGGGACACAGTGGCGTTGGTCCTCTCTTTGAGCTGAGGGTCTGTGGGAAGGCTGTTCCACACGATGAACGGCGTGTCGTACTTGTCCCGCAGCTTCGGACAGCTCTTAAACAGGAAGTCTATGATGAAGAACTTGATGCCGGCATACAGGCCTGGAGAGGAGAGAGGGCATTGAAGAGAGAACATTCAAACATGTTTACAAAGGGCAGACGTCTTAAATGGGGTCCTAACAGTGTAAAAACACTCCCTAAAACAATGCTCTTAGGTCAATAATATTCAAAGTATTTACAGTCGGTAAACTAAATAATGTAATTCAAATGTCAGTCACTGGGTATCCATGGGTAAGAGGTTGTGTATGGTGGGGGGGCAGGCGGCTGTCATCATGATGAATGGTTCAACCAGGTAACTGAGGGGGAAAAGCTTCTATTTGTGATGTAATCTAGTGTTTAAGGGATTGGATCATCGACGCCATGTTTAGTAGACATATGCTTTTCTACCTCATGGTGGTGCTGGAGGAGAAGTTATAAAATCATTGAAGCCTGTAGGATTCTGGAAAATGCTTGTACCACATGTCAGGTTAATCAATCCAAAATGGACCAATCGACCTAAAGATACCTCTCAAATGTGATGGTGACAAACCGCCAAAGTGGGTTACAAATGTGCATCATTTACAAAACAGGGAGTGTTACTAAGAGGCCTGATATGAGAAGTGATAATGAGCTGGCTGAATAAATCGATAACAGTTATTTTAGCTTTAAGCATGTTCCAACGAGCTACAGCCCCCTGGTGGTGCTTGAGGAAGGCTTTGTTTACAAGCAGAAGCAGTAACTTATATTGTCACATCGGCATGCCATTAGCCTGCAGCTGCCCCTCACAGGAAGGGGGGGCGGTTACACAAGGGTTGCATGAATGCATTTGTTCGTGTGCACTGGATTGAGTGGAACAACTTGCATTATGTTAAAGGAACAAAGCAGTGTGTACAGTACAGTATGCCAGAAGGACAGTGAAGCTCTGTGTGTGTGTGTCTCACCCATCATGAAGCCCATTAGTTTGTATGGAAGGACGCAGGAGGTGATGAAAGCCACCCACAGGCAGATGTAAAGTTTCCGGGTGCTCTCCGGCTGCACCCACATGAACAGGCTGCAGATCAAAGCACACAGACAAAGCAAGAAGAGAAATAAGTCAATGGATCTACCTTTAAGTGTAATCATACACCATTTGATTTTATGGGACTTACTTTTTTATCTTCTCCAAAACATCTGACATTTTCCCAAACAGGTTCTGTAAGGAGAGTTCAACACTGCATGAACTGGTGCCATTTATCCATTTGTGATTTGGGAAGTATTATAAGGCCGTGTTGTACCTGTGCTTTTTGTGCGACATCAAGTACTAGCTGGAACTTCTCCGATACAGTCAAGTCTTCCTTCGGAGGCTCCTGCAAGAGAACGGTTCGTACCATTACATATTAACCTCCACTAATGCATGTTTATCTCCTGACACACAGAAACAGGAAGTGGTCTTACCGTGGGTTCAGAGACCTCAGGCACAATGCTCCACTGGATCCTCCAACCTCTGGAAATAAGAAGAAGTGTAAGAGGTTTAGTTTGGATTAAAAATAGGCCAAACACTACTTTTCAGTCTCTACAGTGCCAACATCCGTTCAGCCATCATCTCTTTAAGGCGTCCCAGTTTGCTGATCTGCCCTCATTTCGTAGTGATCACCTAAATTCCCCATTTCAAACTATTTCTTTGACGTTTTTATTGGTTTATAATATCTATATTTGGCTGTGGGCACATACAAGAGTTAACCTTTTTTGCTTTAGCTACAACAGTAATGCACGTGTGGCATGTGTGCATGTTTTTAAAAAATCTGCTCAGAACACATTTGCTGTATTAGACTTATGTTTGTACGTAGCTCACACATTTAAAAGAGGTCTGCTGTGTGCATCTGTTCACCAATAGTGATAGACTTTGATTACATAACTCCTTCTCACAGCTGAACCATTGTCCAACCAGCCATGGCCATCTATTCAAACAGGCATAATTGCTGTTATTCTCTAATATTTGCGTATCCAGAGGTGAGAAAAGTGTTTACCTGGCAATGAGGTAATTTAAGGACAAGCGCAGGATAGCCAGGAAGAGTAACATGGGAATGGCCCAGCCATGCCAAGCAGCATTCATGTAGATCTGCAGGCAAAGGGGAAAACAGTTTACATATGTAACAGTTTTACCTTATTTGAATAGGTACTTTTAACATATATTTGTATTTAAATGTATTATTATTATCCTTGTGTGTACAGTAGTCTTATCCGGTGTTTCACTCCTACTTCTGTGGCTGCGCTGAGACTTGAATCTCCCTACGGGGATCAATAAAGCTTTATCTCGTCTTATTTAAGACATCGACTTTATCTCATGCTGTTTGAGAACCCTATTAGAGCCATCTGTTAACACTAAAGTGAGATCATCTCTAAATACCAAGATGTCCTCTCTCCTCATTGCATGTATGGCCATAATAACATGTGTTAAAGATGATTTAGCGTATTCACTGACATTAAAGGTCCCATGTCATGCTTTTCCGGTTATTACCCGTCCCCTTGTGTGTGATGAAGGTTTTTATGCATGTAAACGGTCTGCAGAGTCAAAACCTTCAAAGTACACCCTGTAGCGAGTAAAACTCTAACGGCCCGTCCACACTGCAGCTTCGACAGCTTCAAAAACGGTTTCCAACGCGTCTGCCCATTCACTTTGAATGGGGTGACGTCACGTTGCCTCGCTTTTCGCCGAACTGAATTGTGGGTAGCAGAGCGGAGCTTTCCTGATGTTTCTGCTACAAAAGTTGAGCAATGTTCAACTTTTGAAGCTTCTGAAGCTTTCGGTGGAAGCGTCAGCCAATCAAATCATATGCCAGTACAAGCTCTAGCCAATCAAACCGCTGCTTGTGTGTCAGGGG